ATCCTTCGCGAATGCCAAAAGCCCGCTTCGGGCCGGTGGTGACAGTCATCAACTTGCATCAAATAAAATAAAAATACTAAAGGCTAACTAAAACAATTCTAAATTACCAACATAATAAAAATATTCAGTACCAACTAACATAATAAAAATACTCAATACCAACTAATATAATAAAACTCTTCAAGTGAGTTAACAATGCTAATGTAAATATATAAATAAAAACTAGAATTCAACATTTTCATTCTTGATTCTTCCCAAGTTTTTTGACTGATGATGGTGATGGTATCTTTAAGGCAGGTAATATCTCTTTCCTCAAAAACTGCATTTGTGCCTGCATTTGTTCCTGCATTTGTTGTTACAAAAGTGCTTGTATTTCTGCTTGTGCCTTCATTTGTGCCTGTATTTGTGCCTGCATATCAGCTTGTGTCTTCAATTGTGCCTGCATATATTGTGCTTATGCCTCCATCTGTGCTTGTAGTTGTGTCTGCAACTACATTTGGGATTGTGTTTGTAGATTTAATTGTGACTGCATCTTTTCTTGCATTTGAGACATTTGTGTAGCTAATGTAGTGATATCTTCTCTAACAGGTGTGGTAGAGGGACCTACAACCGTTGAAGATGAACCATGCATAGTAATGCTAAGATCTAAGCTATGACCCATGTTGTGGATTCTACCTTTTTTATTTTCACCAGAAATTTGTGTCCAAACATCAGTGTCAACTATAGGATGCTTTGATGTGTCTTCCTCATACTTTTCAACCATAGCATTTTCATACGATTCTTACAAAAAAAATGTATCAAGGTAGATAAACAATCTTTAATTTTTACATTAAAAAAATATACACACTCTTACAATGAAATTTTCGCTTTGTTAGAGAAATTTTTTTAAATAATATAAATAGAAATATAAATTATTAATAGTTATATTAGTTTTTATTTGCTAAAAGTTTATTTTCATTCTTTAATTTGTTTCTTAAGTTTAATTTCATAATTTTTATTTTTAAAGGTATTAATTATGTTTTTATTTGTTAAAATGTATTTGATTTGTTTTATTTTAAAATATTAAAATCAAATTTACTCTTATTTTATGAAAATATTTGAAGTTAAAAGGAAAATAAATTTGATTAAATTAATGTCATTTTAAAAAATTAAAGACTCAATTGAACATTTTAAAATAAATTTAATATTTAAACAAAAATCATTTATTGAACTTTTTAAAAATAAGAGAACCAAATTCAACTTAAAAATATTAAATAAATAATATAAATTATTATATAATTTAAGAAAAAATTATAACTAATATAAATAGAAATATAAATTATAAATTGTTATATTAGTTTTTATTTGTTAAAAAAAATTCAATCTTTAATTTGTTTCTTATGTTTAATAATATTATTTTTATTTTAAAAGGTATCAATTAAGTTTTTATTTATTAAAATGTGTTGAATTTGATTTATTTTAAAATTAAATTTGCTTTTTTTTTAAATATTTGAAGTTAAAAGGAAAAATACTGATTAAATTAATTTTTTTTTAAATTAAAGACGCAATTCAACCTGCTTAAAATAAATTTAATAATTAAATAATAAAATCAATTATTGAACCTTTTAAAAATAAGAGAACCAAGTTTAACTTAAAAAATTATTAAATAAATAAATGATGTTATATATTGAATTTGAACAATTTAACCATTAAATTAAATGTTTTGAAGTTATAGATCAATTTACAGAATTTTCAAAAAAATATTAAAAATCATTTGATACATTATATAGATTCAAAATTTAAATGTTTTTATAATTATCTATTAATTTGAATTAATGAAAGAAAGTATCAAATAATTTTTAACTTTTAAATTTTCAAATTTATCCAACCATATTTTTAAACTGAAACTCGATCTAATTAAGATTGAAAAATATAATAGATAAGTTCAAGTTTGACTCAATTTTATTATATTATATGTTAGTTTTAAATAGAGTAAATAGTTTTTTAAACCAACTAATATAGTGTAAAGTTAAATTTGTAAAATAAAGGAAGTGAAAAATCTAATTTAAAGTATATTTTTACTATATATTTTGAAAAATAATTTTATCACCAATTATACAATATCATGTTTTAACTTATTTTATTGAATAAATTATGTTAACCTCCTCTAAGAGATGAGTGTGTACTAGTTATCTTCACTCTTATGTTTTTTTTAAGCACACTCTTATGTTAAAATATACAATTTAGTACATTTAATTTAATGTAATTAATGTAAATTACGCTCTCTTTCTATAAGTAACATAAGTATTACATTATTCATTCTTCATATGTTAAAATGTCAAATAAATTATATTTTTATCCCTTACATATATAACACAATTCACTATTATATCATAAAACACTAATTCATGTAGATATTATAAAATATTTTTATATAAATTATATCTTAATACTCATATATTACATTTAATATATGTAATTAATATAATAAAAATATTATTTTATTTAAATATTTATAATTAACAAAATACATTAAGTACATCTATTAACTACTATTTTAATACTCATATATTATCTTTAATATATGTAATTAATATTATATAATGAAAATTTTTTTATTTAAAAAATAATTTTAATATAGTCAACTTTGCGAGGGAAAGGAGAGAAATAATTTCCCTCGCTAAATAAACTTTTAATATCTCCACTTTTGTGAAGGATTGGCGAGAGAACATTTCCCTCGCTAAAGTAACTTTTATTATTTTAATTATAGTGACAGATTAGCGACCAAATTATTCCCTCGCTAAAATAACTTTTATATTTTTCTCTTTTTCGAGGGATTAGCGAAGGAAACTCAACCTCGCCAAAACAAATTCAATATTCTAGACATTTTGCAAAGCATTAGCGAGAGATTTTGTTTCTCGCTAACTATTTGTGAGCAATTAGCGACCAAATTTATGTTTCTCGCAATTTAGCTACGACTTAGCTAGAGATTATTTTTTATCGCTAATTTGTCGCTATTTAGCGAGGGAATAGCTAGACAAATTTTCCCACGCTAAAATCCCTCGCTAATTAACAATTTTCTTGTAGTGAAGGTGTACGAGATGCATTATTTATACACTAGCCTAAGTGGTGATTAACAGTGTGACACCGATCATAAGTGACATAAACGATTTGGCCATGCGTGGCAGAGCCTAAGGAAATTGATAAAGTTCGCCCATTGTACGACGTTCTGAGTCAATGCTTCTTAGGAGACTGCATTGTATATGTATTGATGTGAGCATGAGCATGGTGCATGGTTTTATTATGATATGATTCTGGTGATAGTAGTTGATGGAAATACACATAATGATAATAGTGTTGTGATTGGTTTTTTATTGTTAACTGTATGAGCTTATTTATGTTGGGTGGAATTCTTTATTGTGATTTACATATGAATACTTATTTTTCTCACTTGTATGCTTTGTGGTTTCGTTTTAGATAATGATGATTATGACAAGGGTGACACTTAAGGTGTCAAGAGTTGAAGTTATGAGTTTACTATGATAATGTAACACTGGGACAACGGGACTAGAATATAGAAATTTACATTTCAAACTATTTTATAAATTCTTTCTAAATTAAACATCGTTTATAACCTTATCTTCTATAATTATTTTAATATGAGTGGATGTTCAAAAGTGATTTATATGTGAACTTGTTTTGCTTAAGATATAAATGGATTTCTTTCTTAATTTAATTGCATTATATGCTGGGATAGAACGAGTGTCACACTTATTACTTGTTGTTATTCAATTTTTATAAGATTTATAACAAATATCTCCAGAACAAATATTTTTAATTGGATTAAATGGAAAAAGTTATGCTCCATGCCAGAAGAATTTTGAGCCTTATAAAAACAATTTGATCTATCCCAATCACATGATAAGTAGTCTTCCAAGTGTTAAATAATCCTTCAAATTGGCTTTTGGATGCTAGTAAAATATATCAATAGAGATTAAACCGTGAATTAATCAATATTAAGAGCGTTATTTATATTTTTTTTAATTAATGGACTACGCAGAAATAGGATAATAGTTTGAGAATAAATTAATAATTTGTTCTTAATAAAGTACATAATTAAAAATATTTTACTAATTTGACACTATCAACAAATTCTAAATCATATATATAATATAACATATGGAATCACCAAGTAAATACCCAAACTTAAATGTCACACTTTATCACACGTAGATCCAAACACAACACAACTAAATAAATTAAAATACTAATTACTTTAAATATTTAATAGTGATACACTCACAACTTATGATAATTTTACAAATTATCATATAATCATAATTCATATAGATGCTAAGTTTGTTGACTTTTATAATAATTATCTTAAAAGTCATACAAATTGTAATTTTCAATTAATTGATTGTGTTAAACTCTTTATACTAACGGTGTATCACTGTTAAGCTTTTATTTCAAAATAATCTTGCTAACGAGTGGACGAATTTTACACATGGCTGTCAATGGAATTAGCCTCGACAAAGTGAACCAATTTTTCTCTGTCATGTTAATCTCTTCATCATTTATCCTTTTCCACTCAAAGCATTGGATTAATAATCCCAAAGTTAAGCCAATGTTTTGCATAGCCAAAGTTTCTCCTGGACAAGCCCTTCTTCCCATCCCAAATGCAACCAACTTTTTTTCTAGTCTCTCGTCATCAAACCTCTCTGGCTTAAAACATGCAGCTTCATTCCACAATTGAGGGTCTCTTTGCATAGCCCAAATATTAGCAATTACCATGGTGTTCCGTGGAATGTTGAATTCTCCGATATTAATGTCCTCTGAAGACACATGTGGTATTGCTAGTGGAGCATGAGGATGCAATCTAAGTGTCTCAAGGATGATCTTTCTAAGATAAGGAAGTTTTGGAAGATCCGACTCATTTACTAAACGGTCTTGCCCCACATGAGTGTCCAATTCATTTCTTGCTTTTTTTAACATCTCGGGATGATTCAATAAATTAGCTAATGACCACTCTAAAGTTACAGCCGATGAATCTGTTCCAGCAAAGAGCATAGCCTGCAATACAAGTTAACCTCTTGAAGCAAATATACTATTAAGGTTAAACATATAATTGCTAGAATAAATATTTTTATATAAAATGAAGTTAATATTAAGCTTGATAATATAAATAATTTTACAATACTAATTTAAAGATTCTAATATTGATGTGCAACTGGAAATAATTTTAAATATAATTTTCGAAACAACTATTGCAAAAGTTAGCAATTTTCAATGATATGACAATTCATAATTTAATAATGATGTAAAAACCACATGTTTTTATTATAGAAAACATAATATATGTTAACCGTGTAAAGTGTTTTTATATGACAATCCATACGTGGTAAACTCTATTTGCCAAACTGATTCTCCGTATACACGCACTTCGATTAGTCCTCTTCATATTTTATAAATAAAATTCAAATTATTATTTGAAATATAACAGTACGTGGAGCTAGGATTTAAACTTATATTCTGAGATTATAATATTGCGAAAACAAAACTTAAAATCATTACCAAAATAAGGCCTTTGATGATTTGATCGGTATAATACTCGGGCTCCGATGCTTGCAGATGTAGAAGATGGTCTATCATGGTATTTTCTCTCTCCTTCTTGCTGCGATGCTCGAGAATGAGTGCATCCAAGAACGTATCGAATCTCGTACTAATACTCTTGAGCCTCTTCTCAAAGTTCTGAAAATCGAACCAGCGAAGGAAGGACAAATAATCAGCCTTGTTAGAAACACCAGCGAGTTGCAGCAACTCCTCCACCGTCTCTCTGAACTCCTTCGCTTCTTCCACATCCTTCATCTCACTCTCGTCACCATAGTACCTCTTCCCCGATATCATCCTCATCATGTTGTTATACGTCATGTCATGGAACATTGAACCTAGCTCCACGTGCGCATACTCCGTGCACGAGTTCTTGGCTAGGGCACGTAACAGCCTCTGCGTTTCGTCCTTTCGGATTCCGGCGAAGGAGTGGATACGCGGCGTTGAGAGAACGTCGAGCGCGATGATGCGGCGGAGGTTGCGCCAGTGCTCGCCGTAGGAGGAGGACCCCACGGTGGTGTAGTTGTAGAAAATGTACTTTCCCGAGAGGGAGCGAGGCCGGTTCGCCAAAGCGACGTCGTTTTTGGTAAAGCACTCTTGGATCGCGGAGGGTGATGAAACGACGACGGCGAGACGGGAACCGAACCAGAGGGAGAAGATGTCGCCGTGTGTTCTTGACGTGCGTTGTAAGAAACGGTGGAGGGGTCGTTCGAGGAGGTTGAGGTTTCCGATTACGGGAAGAGGACGTGGACCTGGTGGCAGGTTTTTGTATTTTCTGCTCTTGAAAAGGAGTTTGAAAGTGAGAAGGAAAACAAGGGAGAAGAGAAAGTGAGCAAGGAAGGGAAGCATTTCCATGGCGGATTATTGAACTAGGTGGAGATTATGGAGAGGTAGTTATTGAGTTCCTAGAGAACGTGGGTTTATTGAGTTGGGTGTAGTTTAATCAACATGCATGTGAGCATCGAGCTGTGTGCAGTATGCGCCATGTGAAGCAACGTTTATAGTAGTAAGTAGGGTTGACGATTTATAAGTGCCATGCATCAGCATCATGCATGTGGGCTCCAAAATCGAAGTCAATGCTCGAGCTCTCCCAGGATTCAAATGGCAACATAAATTAAAGGGAGTTACTCCACTAGCTTTAAAAATTGAATGGTTTTGAAATCCTTTTTTAGGTGGACCAATAATTTAAACTTAAGTGAAATAATGATGGTATGTTAACTTTCTTAATACAATTACTAGGATTAGTCTAATGGTCGAATGGAGAAAGGTTGAGATAGTTAGAAGCATGAAGACTTAAGTTTAATCTTTATTACAATTATTTTTGTAATTTTTCCTATCTTTATAAAATAAAAAAAAAACTTTCTTAATACATTTTATTTTATTTTATTATTTGTTATTTATTATTTTATTTTAGTATTAGTACCGGTTTGAGTTCAACCCTAGTCTTTCAATTTTGGAACCAACATCGACATCATCCTTTTTTTATTCTTCCTTGATAACTTTGGCATTAATTGCAAGCGACTTTTGCCCATTGCTCTTATCTAAAGATTTCTTTCGCATGAAGACGATAAGTTCAATGAGCACAAGAAGAGCAATCGCCAAGGTGATGAAAGTGGTCCTGATCATCAATACCAAATCCAATACCAAAATCGAAATCTTGACGGAGATAGTGAAAGTAACGACAGTGAAAGTTTACTCGCGGATGCATAACTTTATGTTAGGGTTCACATAAATAATAAAAGGGTTAAAAACTTATTTTGGTCCCTTATAATAATTGTTTGTTTTAATTTAGTCTCATTTTTATTTTTGATCTCAATTTGGTCCCTAATAAATTAATTGGTTGCAATGTCGAATTTCCGTCCAAATTATTTAGACGAAGTTAACTATTGGTCACGTGGATGCCACATGGAAGCTATGTAGATGCCACGTGAATGTCAAATTTTTGTCATGCATCTGGAACCGGAACGACCCGTTTTGAATCTGAAATGACCCGTTCTGGTTTCACTCCTGGTGCGTAATTTTGCATCCAGAACGGGTCGTTCCGGATGCAAAATTAACACACCAGGAGTGAAACCAGAACGGGCCATTCCAGATTCAGAACGGGCCGTTCTGGTCCCAGAATGTAACACATAAAGTTAATGATATATATCCATAAATTTTAGATCGTGATGACAATACTTATTCATATATTTGTAATATTAAAAATTTTATATATAATTTTTTAAAGTATAAATATATACTATAGTTATTTTTTACAAGTTTTTATATCTACAATTATGATTAAGGATGAAAATAAACTAGGTCAGATTATGTTATATTATAATTTAACAGATTTAAACCTAATTTTTGTTAAAAATACATGTTATAAATATTATATATTTATCTGTCATAGACATTTTTTAAAATGTTTGGTTACATAACAATCTTAAAAACCTACTTAATAATAATTTAACACTAATAAAAACATATAAATAAATATGTTAAATCTTATAAAAATTAAGTTTAATTTATTTATCATATAAAGATGTTTTTAATATGTGATATAAATTTTTACAAGGCTTAAATATGTTTTTAGTCCCTCAAATTTAGGATAAATCTATTTTTGATCCCTCAAATTTAAAATTGTTGTTTTTAGTCCTTGTAATTTCAAAAAATCTTAATTTAGTCCTTATATTCAAATTTTGTTAAGAAATTTATCAAACATTATTGCATAAAATCTACCTATTGGTGTCCCTATTAGTGAAAATATCACATTAAATCCGGTTGATATTGCATAACTGTCTTAATTAGTCACTTTCAAATATGTTATTGGTGACCTAAGGGACTAAAACAAGATTTTTGAAAATTACAGGGACTAAAAATAACAGTTTTAAATTTGAGGGACCAAAAACAAATTTATCTTAAATTTGAGGGACTAAAAACATATTTAAGCCTTTTTACAATTTTAATTTTTTTTATCAACATAAACAATAAATAGAAAGTACAAAAGTTTGACAAATATCAGATAAATGAATAACTCCTCGAAATTTATATTTTATACATATGAAATTTAAATATATATATATATATATATATTAGAATATTTTTATTTTTTAAAATATATTAATTTTTAGATAAAAAAATTGTGTATGTCTAAATGGTTTGTTTTCGATTTTTGAACCACACTAGTGCACTATGTTGGTTGGCGTTCTGCAACGGCCCGTTCTGAATCCAGAACGGCCCGTTTTGGAATCCATAATGGCCCGTTCTGGTATTAGAACGACCCGTTCTACTACACGCGTTGGTGTTAAATAATGCATCTGGAACGGGTCGTTCCAGATGCAAAATTTACACACCATGAGTGTAATCGAAAAGAGCCGTTCTGGTTTCAGAACGGGCCATTCTGGTTTCAGATGCATGACAAAATTTGACATCCACGTGGCATGTACGTAGCTTTCACGTGGCATCTACGTAGCTTCCACGTGGCATCCATGCGGCCAACATTTAACTCCGTCTAAATAATTTGGACAGAAGTCCGACATTGCAACCAATTAATTTATTAGGGACCAATTGAGACCAAAAATAAAAATAAAACTAAATTGAAACAAACAATTATTATAAAGGACTAAAATAGGTTTTTAGTCTAATAAAAGTGACAGTTTTTCTTATAAATAAAAAATAAATTAGAAATTATACTGAAATATAAAATGATTTGATTTCAATATTATAATACAAAATAATGACATGGAGAAAAAATTGATGACATGGCATGAAGTGACCGATAGCTCCAAAAACCCCAAATATTCTGTGATACCGTAAAAATTCTCTAAATTAATTATATGGGATAGAGTAATTCTTAATGTTGCTTTGTTTATATGAAAAAGGTTAAAATAATTTTTAATTTTATAATTGCACTTTGTTTATCTTTTACTCTTCATAGTTAAAAATAAACTTTTTTAGTTAATATACTTATATTTTCCAATCCTGTTTAGTCCCAATAATTTAAGATAGATCATTTTAGTTCTTACACTTGTATAGTTTTTTTTAATTATTTTAATCTCTATCGATAAATGATTTTGGAATGTTATCTATTTTATGTTAAAGTGATAGAGATATTCAAATTTGCAAGAGTAAGAGTGGTTCAACAATGAGCATCGCATGTTAGGATACAAAAGAAGTACAAAATGTCGAGAGAATAAATTTGACATCAGATATACAAAGTTGAATTTATATCTTTATCACATCAATATGAAAGAAACAATGTTACATAAAAAATTAACAACACAAATTGGAAGGAGCAAAAAATCACAAGTATAAAGATTAAAAAAGTCTATATTAAACTATAAGAACTACAAATAATTGAAAAAAATAATTATAGTAACTAAAAAAATATATTTTCAACTATAAAGACTAAAAGGTAAAGTAAGTGAAATTATAGGAACTAAAATAATACTTTAACCTAAAAAAAAATGGAAACATAAAAACATAAGGATTAAATACTCTTTTAGTTCTTGTAATTTCATTAACTTTATTACCTTTTAGTCTTTATTAGGGATGGCAATGGGGCCCGTGGGGGCGGGTAATAGTAAACCCACCCCTTCCCGCTAGATTAAAATTGGTCCCATACCCACCTCATATCCGTGCGGGTATATCTATATATTAAGCAGGTATTCATGAATTTCTTAAATACTCACGAATATCCATGAATATTTATAAATATTTTAATAAATTAAAAAAAATTATATTATAAACAATTTTAAGTTTATATTTAATGTCATTAAAATATTAAAAAATAAAAATTCATTGTCAATTTTGAACTTGTATTTAACATTAATTTTGTTGAAATAATAATAAAAATGAAAGATAATTAGTAACTTAATATACATTAATCTCACAAGTAAGTTAAAGTCTCATCATAAAGCTATAATAATTCAATCTCATAATTTCAAATGAAAGTAAATAACTTACAATACATAAATTTTATTGGTCCAATCAAAGCTAGAAAATCAATTAAATTACATCTAACATAATTCTATAACATGCTTAACACATGTTGGTAACTTCATCAACATCACTTTTGTAAAAACATAAGATGAGAGAGTATAGTTTTAGAGTTATGTGGTACAAGAATAATTAGGATATTTAAGAAATATTATTAAACGGGTACCAATGGGTATGGATATCATCATACCCACCCCCGCCCCATTTATAAACGGGTAAAAAATTATCCGTCTCCATTATCTGCGGGTACCCAATTAGTCTATCCATTTAGTCTATCTATTTATTATCCGTAACGAGTTTTACCCGCAGATACCCACGGGTGAGGTATTTTTGTCATCCCTAGTCTTTATAATTGAAAAAATTTTATTTTAGTTCGTACACTATTATGCATACTATTTTTATTCTTCTTCTTCTTCTTCTTCTTCTTCTTCTTCTTCTTCTTTTTTCTTCTATTTTTATAAGGACTAAAAGAAAAAAATTTATGAAACTATAGAAATTTAAAAAAAAAATGGTATATATGTATAAAGACTAAAAGTTAAAGTGGATGAAATTACATGAACTAAAAGTGTAATTAAACAAAAAAGTAAGGGAGAAATGATAATAACCATACTATCTTTTGAATATATATTTTCTTATTCATAGAATATATTGAAAAATATAAATTATAGTAATTAAGATCCACTTCTTATCTAATGGGCTTATTTCTTGATTTTGTAATTTTTAAAAAGAAATCCAATAAAAGAGTATATATTAGGAGAAAAAAATTGTGTTAGATATCTATTGTATTTTTAAAACTTTTCTAAATAAGATTGCCTTCATTTTTTAATGAGAAATTCTAGTAGCATTATTATTAAAACACTTTTTAAACACATTCTTCATTATTGTTAATACTT